GTGTTTGAACAGAACAGTGTGAACCCAATTGCCTGCTTGTCACGGAGCAACCTCAGTGAACCCTTGCAAAGTGAGCCCGTGCCTTACATTGCCCCCACACCAGCTAGGCTGCGACCTATTTTTAAAAACATACATTTAAAGTTTACTGAAACTACGGTGACTATACTAAACCTGCATTTACTAGAGCTAACTTGCTGGAATTAGCTTCTTATATTTCAAGCGCAATGATTTCAGAAAAAGACAAGGAACTAGTCTAGGTGGTCAATATGGGTTTCCTTGTTACAGACGCAATTGGAGGTGCAACCCCCTATAATGGGGCTTAATTTTATAATCAACCCTTCTTCTTCCTCTGTCTGTCTATCTATCTATCTATCTATCTATCTATCTGCCATTGCTTCTATGTGCACCTACAAATGTCAGGGAAGCTGATATGCCACAAAGTGCTGTCAAACGCACAGTAAGACAATTATTTTTTTCCTCCGGTGCTCCCATTTTAGCAGCCCTATTTGAGAGGTAAGACAGACAGACAGACAGATCTGCATTTTCAAGCTGAAGATGACAGGAGAGCTGCAGAACCAAAATAACTGGAAACCTGAGTCGTCTATAAAAAGCACAGTTAGGGATCCATCACTGACAGTGCAAACTGGTGTGCTACCTCAGATAACCCCGTCGGTTTGCCTCGATATCTCCTCAGATGAGGAAAGAGTTACTCTGGCTCTGCACAACGCTCTCTGCTTGTACTGGCAACCGGAAACTGGGACACCAGTCCATGGCCATGAACGGGCTCCAGTGTACCAGGCAGGTACAGAGTTGCTGTATCCAGTCCATATTTACTGACTTGGGCAATGATCTGCCCATGAAAGGCTTTGTATCTCACTACTGGTATTTTGCTAAGTAGACTACCTTAAATCATCTTCCATGGTGTTTTCTAAGTTGGCCAAAACAGATATTTTAACACAACGGGAACAAAATTTTTTACAGCGGCAAACAGTGCAGTGAGCTACTAAATAGTAGCAGAAATATGTGTAGCCAAGCCTCGAGGTGACTCCTGTTGTGCAGGCTTCAAGCATGGAATAAAATAATTTCCCAGGTCATGTTTAATGCCTGCACGTAGGCGCTGTGACACAGCAGCCCCAGCTGCGGCACGCGCTCCCCGATAAGGCAGTGGCACAGCTGCACGGTGCCCTGGGGGGAGCTGCAGGGACAAACATTCAAGTAGCACAGGCTCATAAAACTTCTCCAGAGTCATTCACTCATTTATTATAAGGGGTGAATAGAGGAGACGTGGGAAGCGCCACCCACGTGCCCGACCCTCATGCTCGTGGGGGACGTTGGGCTCTGCATAGTGCTGCCAGGGAGGGAGCTGGGGCTGGAAGGATGGGCAGCATTTCCTAAAGAGAAAAAAACCCCTCCCAGCTACCAAGGCTTCCAGAGCACAGGTACTGTTTTCAAGCACTTTCCCCAGGCAAACGATGAGAAAGTGTCATCTGCCTTTGAGAGGGAGCTGGCAGTCACCAAGAGATAAGAAAGACGGAGAAGGGAAAGGAGAGGAAGAGGATGTGAGCGATGGGGTGTGACTGGAGATGGAGAGGACCAGGGAAGGTCATCCTGAGCAAGTGGCGCCAGGGAACGCAGCAGTGCTTTCCAAAACCTTGTCTGCATTGCCAGTTAGTTCTTCAGGCTTCATCTGTGTGACACTTAGTGTCACGTACTGGCACGAAAGGCAGGAACTTCAGTCACCAAGGGTCTGAGCTAAGAAACTGAAGTCTTACTGTCCTATGAATACTCTCATTATACATACAGAGACAGCATACCGATCCGTGTGCCGCACGTCAGTCAGCAGAAGTCTTCCCTCTCCAGCTCTTTCATAACTGTTTTTTTTCTCTGCTTCTATGTAGCTTGAATCCAAAATGGAGGTGTCCTTGTCACCACCTTGCCATGCTCACATGCTCACACACTATCTCCTAACAAACTCTTACAGATTGCAGTGGAGCTTTTCAATTATTTTCCTCACAAACAAAGAAGAGAAAAATAATTTGTGTGAGCCAGAAAAATCCTGTATCATCCATACATCACTGTAAGACCCCTTTGCTTCATGTAGAACACAGGACTTCCTATATCAGGGCCTGTCACATCCTCAGACAGCGCACTGATCACCATGGGTGCCAGGTGAAAAGCCATCAGCACCATTCAAATTAAATGTCCAAAAATACTTTTGCACTGAGAAGAAGGACAGTTATATTCCAGGATGACAGATTTCTAGCGCTGGCAACATTATCTTACAATGTAGGGCTCCAGCTCCTTTTCAACGAAGCTGATGGTCTATAATTTCAACTGGGTATTAGTTTTGTTCCACTAGGTAACATCCTTTAGCAGTGACTTTAAAGCAGCCCTACTTTGACAAGGGAAATAATATCCACTTCACATGGAAATCCCATGTAGCAAATCCCTGTTTGCTTTCTAGCTGCTTGAAAAGGCAGGTGTTTGAGCAAGCCCACTTTGAAAATCCTGCCTGCCTTCCCGCTGCTCTATTAAGGCCTCATCTCCTGCCTTTACGAAGGTACAGCACAGTTTCGGAGCAGGCTCCTGCAGTGCTGTAGCTCCCTGCTCCCCTCTGGCCCCAGGTCAAGCAGACTGATTCCTGCCAGGGAAAGGTCTGCTTGGCTACTGCTTCGAAACACTTGCACTAAGACATGAGACCCCTGAAAAAAGGACGAGTAAGTGCTGTTAAGTAGGCAATACAGTAGGGCGTTGAGCCTTAGGAGGGAAAAAGAAGGAAAAAATAAGACGGGGAGGGAAAGGAAAAAAATCGGGAAAAAAAAGAAAAACAAGGGGAAAAAAAGAAAAAAGGGGAAAAAAAGGAAAAAAGGGAAAAAAGAAAAAAAGAAAAAAGGAAAAAAAAGGAAAAAAAAGGAAAAAGGGGGGAAAGGGGGCAAAAGGGGG